GAAGGGTTACTCAACACAAAATGTCTTTGACCTTGTTTTTTATCATGTTGTTTTATCATTCATTAATCGCTGTATAATGACTTGAGAATGAGGGCTGGATAGGTTTTAAGGGACCATTGCGTAGTGATGACAGAAAGAATGAATGGTAGCTTGATAGCTGTGACCGACGCTCTATTATTGCGACATTAGTTGTGTCGGGGAGCATATGTCTTGGACTCCTGTGATAGAGTCTCTATCATAACGACCACAGCTAGTTGTATCAGTGAGAGCACTGAAGACGTCTTCTGGGGGTCCGACCATAACTAGCTTTATCAGACAGACTAACGTGGACGGACACGGAGATTTACACGACCGTAAAATGAATACTATGTATTAGCCGACTGAATTGTAACTAGATCAGGAAGCTGTTTGTGTTCTGATAACCATTGATAAGGGCACAGCCAGGAGGCTCTGCAAGAATGAACGCTAAAATCAACCAATGGCTGCCATATTGCTTCCAACAAGTATGGGAACTATTACATGTGCTCGTGAGCAGTTGAAATAAACAGCTTCTTATTTTGACCCACTGTTATGAAATGACACATTGTAATACCTTGGTTAATAAGGATTTTCTATGTTCAATAAATAGTCAATTTTTTTTAGTGGGTTGGGTCAGACACCACTTGTTGGTTTGTTGTTTAACACCGCACTCAGCAAAATTCCAGCTGTATGATGGCAGTCTGTAAATAATCGAGTCTGGACAACTCAATCTAGTGATTGACATCATGAGCATCGGTCTACGCATTTGGGATACAATGACATACATTAATCAAGTCAGCGAGTCTGAGAACCAGATCCAGTTAGTCCTCTCTTACAACAAGCAAGGGTTGCTGAAGACCTTTTCTAACCCAGATCTTCACCAAGGATGCTACTCTGAGCAGCATGATGTATGTCACCATATCCCAATTGCACAGATCGATGCTCATGATGTCAATCACTGGATTTGCTGTACAGACCATCGTCATGTAGCTGGAATATTGCTGAGAAGGGAGTTAACAATAAATAAACTATTTATCTAATCCAGCCAATGTAAAACACATATAATACAATATATGATGGGGTATATCGATTATTCTAAGTAAATTATTGTGACATATTACCAAGATTCAATCCCAAATATTCCTTCCAAATTAACCCCTTAACAAGGTAACCTACAGCATAACAATGGGTGTCACTCAAAATACCAATTTGGAATCACCAATTGAAGAAGAATCATGTTGCACATCCACAAAAAACAAACCATCAATAAAACATAAAGGGGCTGCCAGAATATATCATGACCCATAAAATCTGAACAGTAAAGATTTACACTGGAAGCAGTTTCATATTACATCACAGGTATATAATTTTCATAAAATAAAAATAAGCATCACACAAATGTCAGTCACAGATAAAGAATTGTAACAATTACAACGTGGTGTCCATGTTCTCACGCGTGAACTCTTTAGTGCCAAACATGTTCTCTGACACAAGATACAGTCATTTCATCACGTTTTTATACATGACACCATGAAATGTCGCTATTTCTTTATGTTCAACAAGCAGTTCATAAAAAAACAGGGACAAAATGTCTTCGGCGTGAATTTCCTGCTCGTTACAATGATCAAAGGGGAGCTGTACCTGACAACCATCTTCAGTCGGGATTAATGCGTAACACTGACTTAAGTATGGATCAGTGTGGATTACACTAATCACTTGATTATTACACACTAATCCTAATCTCATATTTCAACAAACTCTTTCAATGAAGGGTCTAGTCAGGCCTTGCTATAGTCTGTGCACCAACTTTATAACTCTACCAGCCCAAACTTGTCCATTAGCAGGGACAAATGTATTTTTGTCAAGTGTGCCATAGGGCACCCTTAAGATGTTTCGGTGTGCCGTTTGGAAATTAAGTGGTCCAACAAAACAGTCACTTTAGGTTCACCTCCACAGAGCTCCAGATAAGCTGCGTATCTGCGTGAAATACGCAGCAGAAATGCAGAAATATGCAGTAAAATATAATCCAAGCGTATCAAATACGCAACGAACATTACAGATACGCTACAAAAATAACACTTGTGCGTATCATCAAAATATTGTGAAGTAACCCTGCGTATTCGATTAGCAAATCAGCAACTTATTTTGAAATTATAAACGGGCATTCCGTCAACTTTGCCAAACTCCACGATGACAGTTACATTATGATCATTTGCCATCACACTTTCGTGTGGAAGTATCGTGGTATTTTTGAGTCCTATAAAGCTCTCAAACCCACACGACACCAGTTTGCAGGGACTGGATGAATAGTGTTTTTAAATATTTCACTTAAATACCCACATGTGTAAAAACTAGTGGGTAACAGAAATTTGAATACGCAGATAGAATTACTGATACCCAATGATTTTAAATGCATGGGTAAAATACCCACAACACCAAAAGCTTATCTGGAGCTCTGCCTCCAAACTTGGTGAATGTCTCGTCACCATCATCTAGGGAGCAATGAAATTTAATTTAGAAAGTTTTCCTTCCTTTTCATTGAGATCGATAACATTCCTAACCCAAGGCTTAATTCGTGAATCACATTGTGCTTTAATTGAATTTGTATGTTCATTTTAAAAATGTCCATTTTACACAGCATTTATCACTAGCTTTGTGGAACACACATCATCAAAGAATTTTTTTGTAACATGTATGATTTCTAACTGTGCACCTTCAGGCACCAGGAACTTCTATTAACTGTCCATTACAAGTTTAACCATGCCACTGGCATATTATGGAATCTTGAACCCTGGATGGTACCCTGGTGTGGTCATATGGACTATTGTTCGCTGAGCTATGAAAGACACAAAACTCATTCTTTGGTCTACTTGCTCAAATGGCCCTATTCATGTCATGTCTTACATGAGATCAAAATAAATGAAATTGTTAAACAAACCACCGCTGCAACCCAAGGGGACACGAAGGCTTTTCCCTTCCATCAGCCACTTAGGTGCAGTTCAAAAGTATGATGTTGGATAGTTTAGGGTTAACAGCCCAAACTTTTTCAGTGGTGAGGGCTGGGGGGTAATATTTTGACTCTGAAAATAAGGTGCATCACTATCATAGGAAAAACAAGGTGAAATACAAGAACATTTGAGCCAATCAAAATCCACTCTTACACATTGATACTATTTATTTCTCTGTTTTTATATCCGAAAACCCTTTTGAGGATGTCAACATATTTAATACTTAGGTTTAAAGGGGGGGGGGGGGAATAATTAGAAAGCATGATCGATTTCAATCACCTCCCCTGAAACTCTATTTTATACATCCCAGTGTTCCCTTTCTGTCCTTTTTTCAACAGACTTGGATCTAAAATATCATACATCATACTTTCTTGTGACAACATGGCTGACTCAACATGACTTTAAATTTTCACTTATTCGTGTGTGATACCAAACAACTTCTCCAAACTCACAACTTAGGCTCATGCAATAAATATTTGGTCTGGTTAAAAACTGTAAAGATGCTGCTTTTTCACAAATCAAAATTGTGTACTTGATGTAATTTGTTCCTATGTGTTGAACACTGTTATTCATTGATACAGACTCTCCTGCTAACAATACACCACACATACATAAACTACTTCAACAGATTCATGTTATTGAGGGGGAAAAAATAATATTTTCCAGACAAGGTAACCAGTCCATCAAAATCCCCTGAAAGGGGACTGTGAATAATATATGTATTTTCTCTCATGTCAAGAACACTGTATCTGTATCCTAGTGTTCAACTTTGTTCTCTCCATGAGGGGAATATAAATCTATATTGCATACCGTGCCAATATGTTTATTGGGGTAATAAACTGTGCATGCAATACATGAAAACCCTGTTCGAACATTTCACAAGTAATAAACTGGCATTCTCACTTGCAATTTCAGAAACAGGATTTGTTGTAAACAGGCAATGGATTATTTTTTGACAGATATAATCATTTATATGTACAGTCTAGTTTCATGTCCTGTTAAGAATGACCAGCCTTTGTCACAATAATTTATAAAACTGGCATTGTATTGCATTGCATCATTTCCTATTTTTCGTTGAATCTTGTTAAAAATTAAAGTGGACAAGGAAAGAAAATATTGTGTGTAAAATACATAATATGTAATAGAGCTTCTGTTGATTTTAGTCATAAACATTGTATAAATGATTTGTGTTCTTGCACATGCCCCAATCAACAAAGTTTGTATGGGTATATTGTGTAAATGAAATCAATTAACAATTTCTATTGGAGGGATCACAAACTGTAATCTGGGTCATTGCTAATTGTGTGCCCTTAAAACCCGAGTGTTATTACATAACATGGCCAAGGGTAGCACTGCATACAGTGTGTACTTGTGTCAACAACTTGATTGAGTAATTTATTGCTGGTTTTAAATTTGTGTATAAATCATCTGAATTAATCCTGATGCATCATTTCAACAATCATCACAATGAATACAATGTAATCATTACAATCTAAGATTTTAATCATCAGTTGATAATTCACCAATGAAAGAGAAAGATGTTTAAATATTTCGCAAAGATAACTATCATTACAGAATAAGTTGGCCAACGCTGTTTGATGACAACAACGTTGTGTTGAACCATGGGGGCATATTTGATATATTACAACAACATTTGGAGTCGAGCTTGAGAGATAAATACCACATGTCACTGATAGTAAAAGCTTGGCATGTGTGTTTTCCTGAGAGCTTCGTGTACATATTATTAGAAGTTGATCTTATGTTCAGAAAACTCGCATGCGTAGTCAATGTAAGCTCTGACCCCAACCTTGAACTTTGAGGGTCTACTACACGGCTCTTGGTGAAAAGCATCAACACCAGGCTCCAATCGTCGACCTTGGTAGACGGGGCATTGTATAGCGCATTTATACCATCCCGGAAATACTCTGTTTATCAACAACAACATTGTATAATAGAGTATATGTAGTTCCTTACCTGGCTTTTCTGAATGAGCGCTGGAAGCGATGTCCTCCGAGCTGATCTGTGTGCAGAAAATGCATGAGCACTCGATGAACTTGATCGTCGACGTTTGATAACTGGGATTTTCCCGTCTTGGGTCATAAAGTTTTGTATAGGGGGTTTTAACACTGTTTCCATGTATTTGGCTACCAGTATGCCTGCAAACCCGCATGTATATGCTACGTAGGGTCTTATTCCTTGAGGCAAATCTGCTAACGCGGAACATGCTAGGAACCGCGTGAAACTGACAAGTAAAATAACTACAGCACTGTGTATTGTTTCGAGTGATGAAAACACACTCGCTATGCTGATCGCCAGCAGAACGAACACTATAACTAATGGCTGGGTGACGCTGTTAATGGTTACACCCGCCTGGGGGGTGAGGTCGGAAGGGTGGGAAGCACCCCAGTCTCGTAAGAATACCTGTGCTAGTGTTTCTCCAAGATAGCATGAACTAAACAGTAGATACACACTCGTAGTGCTCCAAGTTCGACGAAAGTACAGAGACAGCCAGTAGAATGCACATAATATACTGAACATGGGAACAACAAGACCACATAACCTTTGGAATAACAATCCAACATCACATCTTAGCAACTGGTAGAAGACTGCACTGGTCAACAACACACCAACTCCGTAGAGAGCGCCGAGTTGATGGCTTGAGAAATTCGTGTTGCTCAGCCCGAACCAACTGAGGAAAAAGCCGTAATTGCCTTGTTCAAGCGGTTTCACAAAAATCTGAATGTATCCGTTATTCTCTGTGTCTTCTTCCTCCTTATCGATGTCGTTCTTTGACCCCTGTCTCGCGGGTTGAGATGGCCGATGTAGGGCCATACTGCGTCCAACTCCCTTCCCGGCTAACTCCGCCACTACAGCCGCTAGGAACCCTGGGTACGAAATGTACAACTTGCCCCCTAGCGGAGCTCGTGCACTGTGCTGCCGATGTCACTTTCTCCTCGTGCAAAATGGTATCTTTCCGTGTCAACCGTAATACACATCTTGTCTATCAGCTGTCTATACACATGCACACCGACACCCCGCCATGATCGAGGTGTGCGACGCAACTGCTCGCTCCGACTCTACCTCCCTACTGTCGTCAGTGAGCCCGAGCTGCACATTGATCGAAGCAAGCAGCGAACGCTCCACTAACTCGGGTCTCGCGGCCACCAGGCCTGATGGATTCGCTATGTCTCCTGCGTATCTTTCATATTATTACATCCCTTGGTTTTCTCTAGTTGAAACAAACACATTCTTTGGAACAACGTAACACCCGTAAATCTCCCTACATATGTAGTCACGTTCTACGCACGTGCGATATCAACAGCGCTGTTGTGGAGCTGACGATGAGTCAAATAACCATAAGGTTGGCTGTGATTTGATTTGAAGATACATATTTGATTTGAAGATACGTGAGTTGTGTTCGACATTTCGATAGACGACATCGATTTGATGAGGAAGAAATGACTGAAAATACTTTCACAAATGTAATGATACACAAACGAGAGCTGCAAAAGTCCCCGATCAGCGAATCCGCGTTAACTCGCCCATTACTGAATGGATCTTGTCATATCCGCAGATAGTTAAGCTACTTCAAAAGACAATTCGTTACTATACTGCTGATATTAGATACTGCACGGGCGTCGGAGAGATAAGATGTATGATGGCACAGATGTGGGCGGAACATGGCTCAACTAAATAAAGAAACGTCTGGTATACATTAGAAATTATATTAACGAGTTGTAAAAGGAAACAAGCCTAGCCTTTTCATGTGAGAATCGTAAATATAGGATTTTTTACTTTACGCGCAGTCAAACAGAATCGCCCATTATGCAACACCTAACATTAAGCTCAAATTATTTGTGATTTTTTAAACAAATACTATACCATGTGGAATAATGTTAGACCCGGATGTTGAGTGGCTGTGATTTGATGGGGAATAACGCCAGTTTGACATTTGCAACATTATCACATTTTACGACATTATCAGCATTATCACAATTTACGGCATTACCGCGGCAGGAATGGCACCAAGAGAGCACTTCACAAATTGTAGTTTTGGGGTGAATCGGTCGGTTACGACGGGCGACAGCACTTGCGCCTGTGTTGCAGCGACGGTATATTTGTGAGTGAGTGAATGTGTTACGCTACAGTCAGCAATATCCCCACTACCGTAAATCCTTCAATAAATACTGTGATTTTTTTAATTACGGAAGGTCCTCAGGATTCGGCGTTTATGCTCATCAGAAAGGCGTTTGTATCAGTATTTTCACGTCCATTGCTAGACTAACATTTAGTCTCTGAAATCTTATATTACACAATATCCTTCTTGACACTAAAAATAAAAAAAAATTCCCTATGCTGATTTGTGGAATAGAGCTAGCTTGAGCTGGCTAGACTTGCATTTGTATACATTTCGAGATTATTATTGTTTCATAAAATAAAAATATTCCACGGTCATGGTGCAGGACTAGTCCATTGCAATACCCTCGCATAACGTTTGACCAGATGTTTGTTCAGTTTGCGAGTTTTTCTTTCTCTCGGCGAGCCTATGATCTGAAGTTTATTCAAGGTTTTACGGTGTATCCCCCATTGTCCACTCTATGACGACGAGAATAGGGTCCTCCTGTTCTGTAACTGGGAATCCAACTCCGAGGTAAAGTAACAACAGTCGTGTGTCTCCCAGACCCGAGGGGGCGGTCGGGTAGCCTAGTGGTTAAAGCGTTCGCACGCCACGCCGAATACCCGGGTTCGATTCCCGACATGGGTACAATGTGTGAAGCTCATTTCTGGTGTCCCCCGCCGTGATATTGCTGGAATATTGCTAAAAGCGGCGTAAAACCATACTCACTCAGACTCAGACTCCCAGACCCGAGAGAATAAATTACAAAATGAACCCAACTCAAGTCTAGACTGATTTGGCAAGTCCTGATTGCCTCAGCTCTAGAGCAGTTTGAGTGAGTGAGTGAGTGAGTTTGGTTTTACGCCGCTTTTAGCAATATTACAGCAATATCACGGCGGGGGACACCAGAAATGGGTTTCACAAATTGTACCCATGTCGGGAATCGAACCCGGGTCTTCGGCGTGACGAGTGAACGCATTAACCACTAGGCTACCCGACCGCCCCTAGAGCAGTTTGAAATTAAGCATTGTTCTGGGCTACATATGATTGTATGTGTTTTTTTGTAGACATATATTTTTAGATAAAATAATTCTATTTCTAGGACTAAATGTTATTGTATAACAACAGTAGAAGTAGACAATAAAAGCAGTTGTAGTATTATGTAACCAGAAGCATGCAGTTGTGGTAATGCAGACTAATATTCAGTCCCATAAATAAAGTTCTTATCTAAAAATATATATCTACAAAATTTAAAATAAAATCCAAATGGAGGAACAATGGTAAATTTCAGAGCATGGAGCTGAGGCAATCTAGACTTTCGAAATCATTCCAGACTTGAGTTGGATTAATTTGTAATATATTCTCTCTGGACTGACTGGTGTTAATGTAGTTTCAGCGGAAGCGCTGTTGCATGCAGCAGTAATGAAGGTAGTGTATAGTATTGCACGGGTAGTAATGTGTGTAGTATAGTAGAACTCGGAGGCCCAGTCGTCTTAGTCGCCGCAATTCGCTGTGCACGCAGAGTTGCGTCTCTTTGGCGCGATAGAAACCTATGATCGTGGGTTCGAATCCCAGGTTCTTTCTGACTAAGAGTATCATCACCATGCCGTGGGTTTCACCAAAGTGGTAGACGTCTAGGACCTGCATCACGTCAGGCTTTCCTCCCTAATTAAGTGGGGCGTTGGGTAGCCTAGTGGTTAAAGCGTTCGCTCGTCACGCTGAAGACAAACATGGGTACAATGTGTGAAGCCCATTTCTGGTGTCCCCCGCCGTGATATTTCTGGAATATTGCTAAAAGCGGCGTAAAAACATATTCACCCCTCCTAATTAAGCTGACATGCCGCATACTGTTCAAAGCGACCTGAAACCAAACTCACTCACTAACTCGAAGGAAGTAGTAGTGAAAGCGGCAGTTCTATAACAATGCTTCACTCGGTACATCTCGGTACATCTCGGTAACCTGGACACATATTGCATCACTGTCGTGCGAGAGATCATTAAGGGGGAAGCATTCAAAGAATCCTCGGATTAATTGCTATATACGCATGAGGTCACACACCGTAATCGCTGAGATTAACCATGGTTAAGGAATCCGCCTGGTGTCATCCTTTGCTTATGAATAAGGTTATTAGAAACACGCGGGGCTGTAGGAAAGGTGATTTATTACTTCCCCATGACAGCGATTATCAGGGTACACTAACACCCATGGAGCCCCGTAGTGTTATTACACTAACGCCCATGGAGCCCCGTAGTGTTCGCACACTAACACCTATAGAGCCCCGTAGTGTTCGTACACTATCGCCCATGGAGCCCCGTAGTGTTCGCACACTAACACCTATAGAGCCCCGTAGTGTTCGTACACTAACACCCATGGAGCCCCGTAGTGTTCGCACACTAACACCCATGGAGCCCCGTAGTGTTCGTACACTAACACCCATGGAGCCCCGTAGTGTTATTAAACTAACGCCCATGGAGCCCCGTAGTGTTCGTACACTAACACCTATAGAGCCCCGTAGTGTTCGTACACTAACACCCATGGAGCCCCGTAGTGTTCGCACACTAACACCCATGGAGCCCCGTAGTGTTCGTACACTAACACCCATGGAGCCCCGTAGTGTTATTAAACTAACGCCCATGGAGCCCCGTAGTGTTCGTACACTAACACCTATAGAGCCCCGTAGTGTTCGCACACTAACACCCATGGAGCCCCGTAGTGTTCGTACACTAACACCCATAGAGCCCCGTAGTGTTATTAAACTAACGCCCATGGAGCCCCGTAGTGTTCGTACACTAACACCTATAGAGCCCCGTAGTGTTCGTACACTAACACCCATGGAGCCCCGTAGTGTTCGCACACTAACACCTATAGAGCCCCGTAGTGTTCGTACACTAACACCCATGGAGCCCCGTAGTGTTCGCACACTAACACCCATGGAGCCCCGTAGTGTTCGTACACTAACACCCATGGAGCCCCGTAGTGTTATTAAACTAACGCCCATGGAGCCCCGTAGTGTTCGTACACTAACACCTATAGAGCCCCGTAGTGTTCGTACACTAACACCCATGGAGCACCGTAGTGTTCGCACACTAACACCCATGGAGCCCCGTAGTGTTCGTACACTAACACCCATGGAGCCCCGTAGTGTTATTAAACTAACGCCCATGGAGCCCCGTAGTGTTCGTACACTAACACCTATAGAGCCCCGTAGTGTTCGCACACTAACACCCATGGAGCCCCGTAGTGTTCGCACACTAACACCCATGGAGCCCCGTAGTGTTCGTACACTAACACCCATGGAGCCCCATAGTGTTATTAAACTAACGCCCATGGAGCCCCGTAGTGTTCGTACACTAACACCTATAGAGCCCCGTAGTGTTCGTACACTAACACCCATTGAGCCCCGTAGTGTTATTAAACTAACGCCCATGGAGCCCCGTAGTGTTCGTACACTAACACCTATAGAGCCCCGTAGTGTTCGTACACTAACACCCATGGAGCCCCGTAGTGTTCGCACACTAACACCCATGGAGCCCCGTAGTGTTCATACACTAACACCCATGGAGCCCCGTAGTGTTCACACACTTACATCCATAGAGCACCGTAGTGTTCGTACACTAACACCTATGGAGCCCCGTAGTGTTCATACAATAACACCCATGGGGCCCCGTAGTGTTCGTACACTAACACCCATGGAGCACCGTAGTATTTGTACACTAACACTTATAGAGCCCCGTAGTGTTCGTACACTAACATCCATAGAGCCCCGTAGTGTTCGCACATTGACACCTATAGAGCCCCGTAGTATTCGCACACTAACATCCATAGAGCCCCGTAGTGTTCGTACACTAACAGCCATGGAGCCCCGTAGTGTTATTACACTAACGCCCATGGATCCCCGTAGTGTTCGCACACTAACACCCGTAGAGCCCCGTAGTGTTCGCACACTAACATCCATAGAGCCCCGTAGTGTTCGTACACTAACAGCCATGGAGCCCCGTAGTGTTCGCACACTAACACCTATAGAGCCCCGTAGTGTTCGCACACTAACATCCATAGAGCCCCGTAGTGTTCGTACACTAACACCCGTAGAGCACCGTAGTGTTCGCACACTAACACCTATAGAGCCCCGTAGTGTTCGTACACTAACACCCGTAGAGTCCCGTA